CCAATAGGTGGAACTCGTTTTTCAGCATTACTTACAAAAAATAATTCAAATAATAATTAATCATCTGATACTATATAGCAATTTTAAAGAACAGAATTTAAATTTATCTATATGTCTAATGTTACCATTTATCTGTTTACCTTTTATTCCATTAGCTTACCTCTACCTCAAATCTTGAATAAATCAAATTACTTTTTACTTTTAATTGACACAAACTCACCAAAGATTATTGTCGTAATTTTAAAATGTTTAAGGCTCTTATTTTTTACTTTCTCGGCTTATAATAATGTGATTAAAATTAATTGGAATTCCAAAGATTTATCTTTTAGTTCAGGTAACACCAAGTTAATCTAAGTCACGCAAATTTTCGATTAAATTTTTGCAAGAATTCGTTTCTTATATATTTTCTTACTGTTTCATGATAAGTAATTCTTTCAATATCAAATTGGATTATAATCCTTAAGTTTTTCATTTGATAGTTTATTCATTACACTTAATATTATATAAATACAGGTGAAATCATTTCACCTATTGAACAAAAAAGGCTACAGGTACGTTTTCATCTGTGAGGACTAAAAAATAATATATTTTCCACACAGAAGTCAAGACATAGTTCAGAGAAGAATTAAATCTCCTACTTCAAAAACTTTTATGTGAAAATTATTTAAAACGGTTATGGAACCTGTCACCGACATAATCATATAAATACCTACTTTTACATGAAATCTGTATGGATTTGAGTTGCAGCAGAGTAAATATCGGTAAACCTTAAAGTTCATTTTAGAACTTGTAGTTCATGTCACACCGCGAGCTATCCGCAATGCAGCTTACATTCCACAGCTTAGAAGTTATGCTACAGGTTTAGTAAAGAAACGACACATGACACCGTAATAATTTATATTTCTAAGTTAAGAATATGTTATCGGATTTTATACACATAAGTGTCATGTGAATATATTATGCATAATATGAATTTTCACTAACTTAATGCAATACTTTATGTCTAAGCACCGATTCCGAATATTATTTTATTATTTTTAAAATATTTAAAAATATCTGTTTTCTCTTCATATTTAACTTCCATTAATTACAAAAAAAATTACACAAACGAATGTTTTTTTTTTATAATTAACTTTTACCCGCCTCCTGAATAATCCCATAATTTGATTTCAGAGTAATAATGTATTAAACTGTTTTATAGCAGTACATTTTATAATAATATAATTATTTTATAGATGAACAATATTACAATTTATTTTGGGGAATACTTTTCCAATTACTTAGCTTTCTATTTCTAAACTGTTGCGTTTTTTCTTTCTTTTATAATTTGTGTACATAATTTTTTTCATTTTATGGTGCATTTATTTTTTAAATATAAATCTATATATTTAAATATAAATCTATTTTAAAACCTAAAATACAAAGTATAAAGAAGGCGAAATTTGTAGTAATGAAAAATAAGATTAAAATAAATATATAAGAGGGATACCATGTCCAGCTACGAACTTTTAGGAGCTGATGAAAAAGAAAGTTTTAAATAATGTAAATATATTAACGTTATAATAATATCACACTTTATTTTCTTGCATATGTGTTGTTTGCTTTTGTATTCGAATTAAATTATTTTGGCAACATTATTATAGGTTGGATACAATTTTATACTTTTTAACATTGTCCAAAAAATGTAAAATTATAAAGTAAGGTTGTAAAATGTACATAAGATGTGTAGTAAATGGTAAGTAGAACGAAATCTCTTTGCGATGTAATACGTATATCGCGTGACTTGACATACGTTGTGGTTGAAAGTTTACAACAGTGTGAATTTAGGAACTTAGGTAACCTACTTGCTTGTAAGTAGGTAATTCAATACGTTAACTGAAATTGTGGGAATATATATAAATATATTTAAAATATATTATACTATACTATACTTAATTTGGTATCAATCTTCCGTGACCACTATCTTAGGAATTGCAGTACTGACTAACGGTATATTTAATAACTGTAATAAATTTTTAAGAATTTTATATTGAAAGTTTTTTTCTATAGACAAGGGTGACAAACGAGCACACAGTCTATCTGATGGTACGTGGGTGCTGTGGCCCGTAGACATATACATTTATCCTTAATTAAGATTCAAAACGCAGATGCGTTGTTACCCCTGAGGACTAAGATGGAATGCTTCGTTTTCAGTAAAAAGGGTCTCTGGATCTCTACACTCACCATACGAAACACAGCAGTATTCAGCTGCTATTTTACGCTGGTATTCTGTGAGAGCATATTCTTTCCCCGATCGAGCCGACCCATTCGTGCTACAACCATAATATAGCTGCCGCGTGGCTCTACCACATATAAGTGTTGACTGGTCAATCCGATTTTGTAAATCGTAATGTTGTTTACTGAGACTCAATAATAATTCATCGAAATACCACTTATTGGGTACTAGCATAACTCTGAACCATAGTATCGACATAAAAAAATATTTATTATGTGAACACAACCTCGATCGGACAAGCCTTTTAAAAGTTACACGATCACTAACGGACAAGCCAACATTTGCGGAAAAATCTCTAGGTCTAGCGAGTTTGTGGAATGGCGTATGGTCTCTAACTGCAGGCATATTGGTTGGTCTAAAGCAGTTAATCAAGCAGTATGAGGTCTTGCTTTATCATAAAACAATGATAGCAAATATCGATTGAACATTCAGGGTTGTTTCTTCGAGAGTTTCGGCATCATTGTTCTCAGTTTTTCACAAAAAAAATTTACCGGTTTTGATGCACCGGATCGCATAAAGCTATTGTGCATTATACCTTAAAGTAATCACCAAAACGTTACCACTACTTTTCTATGGGTAAGCTTTGATTTAGGACATGTTTTCAGTGTTTGATCTAGATTAGCCAATGTTTTTAGATAGAGTACTAAATTATAAAACTGCTTACTGTAGCTAGGTGCATCAATGATCCAACTGCTTCCCGATATGGGATGTTCTTTTCTGTTTCTCCTTCTCCTTTCTCCAACTTCATATGTGACTCAACTGGAATGCAGTTTGGTTTACAATTATACAAATTAAATTTATTTAATAACTTCTCAATATAGTTTGACTGATGTATAAAAATGTATTTGTCACACTTCTGTATCTCCATACCAACAAAATTTTTGAGTGAACAGATTTTCACTTCAAATATTGACTGTAAGTCATTAATTAACTCCTTTAACGTTGATGTATTTTTCTCAAATAAAAGTCCATCATCAACATACAAACACAGGTAACATTTTGCTCCATTAATAGTGCTAACATACACACAATGATCAGCTTTACTATTGGCTAGCCCAAACTTCTTTAAAACAACATCAAATTTTTAATTCTCTGGGAGCCTGTTTTAAACCATATAAAGATTTATTGAGTTTACACACCTTATCAGCATCGCAGGTTAAGCCCTCGGGTATAGTCATGTATGTGCCTTCTTCAAGCTCACCATATAGAAAAGCTGTTTTAATATCTAGCTGAATTATCTGAAGATTGTGTTGAGCAGCTTCTGAGAATAATATACGTATGGAATCGTACCTGACAGTTGGAGCAAATGTATCTTGGTAATCAATACCTTTGGTTTGTGAATATCCTTTCGCACAAAGTCGGGACTTATAACGTGTACCTGAAGGTTCTTCTTTGATGCGAAAAACCCATTTACATCCAATTATTCGCATATTGGGAGTTTTTTCTAACTAATGTCCAAGTATTATTTTTATGATGACAATCAAGCTCTTCATTTATTGATTTTATCCATTTTGTGGCATCAATAGACTTTAATGCCTTTTCATAGTTATCAGGAACTTCATTTTCCGATAATTGGTCTTCACAGCACTGGTAAGAACTCTCTTCTTGTTTCTGTGCATTTAAACATTGTCTTCTTGTTCTTACTGTTATATTTCTGTCAGGTGAAGATTCATCGGGGATGTACTCGCTGTCTGACTGTGATTTATGTTCACTCACAGTGTCTAATGAGTAATCACTTGAAATTTCTTCTAAATTGTTACTTTTAATACAGCTTTCATTTTTAATTAATTCAATCGGTACAAAATCTCTTTTAATTGTTGACTCTAAAAATATTGTATCTCTACTTTTTATTGCTGTTCTTGAATTAGGTAATATGAATCGATATCCTTTTGAATTTTCACAGTAGCCAATAAAAATTAATTTTTGTGATTTTGAATCAAACTTCTTTCTTTTTTCTCTTGGTAAGTGGACCATTGCCTCACAACCAAATGTACGCATGTGGCTAACCTTAGGTTTCTGACCAGTCCACATCTCTTCTGGAGTTTTATAAAACAGAGATTTTGTTGGAGAGCGGTTTACAATTTAGGCAGCTGTATGGATTGCTTCAGCCCAATAGATTTTAGGTAAGTTAGCATTTAACATCATACATCTTGCTCTTTCAACTAAAGTTCTGTTCATGCGTTCGGCTGTACCATTTTGTTCTGGTGTATAAGGTGTAGTAGTCTGATGTATTATTCCGGCATCTTTGAGAACATTTGAAAATTTTTCATTGACATATTCAAGTCCATTGTCAGATCTGAGAATTTTAATGCTGCGGTTTAACTGATTCTCAACTTGTTTTTTAAATTCTTTAAACTTTCTAGGACTTCTGACTTGTTGTAAATGGTATACACAAACATTTTCTTTGAGTAGTCATCGAGGAATGTTACAAAATATCTGGCTTTGCCCAAAGACTGAGTTTCCATCAGTCCGCAGACATCTGAGTGTATCAATTCAAGTAGATTTTTGCTCTGAGACCCTTGACTTTTAAAAGATAAACGTGTTTGTTTTCCTTTCTGACATGTTATACACTTAAAATTTTCTTTGACTTGACTTAACTTTAAATCTGCAGTGCGCGGCTCGATCCGAGATTTGTCAGTTTTTAGTACGATTGTGTTCGGGGCGCGCAGTATGCGCAGGACTCAGCCGTGGACGGTCGTTCGTTTCGTTCGCATGCGCAACGATCATGGCGGTGAAAGAGGGTGCGTGGAGTGATGACCAGTCAGTTTTATTGATAGAGGAATACAAAACAAGGGAAGTTTTATGGAACCCTCAAAATGAAAACTTTTATACACAAAATTTAAAGAAAGATGCGTGGGACGAAATCGGAAATTTATTGAAAAAAACAGCAGAAAAGTGCAATAACAAAATGACAAGTCTTCTCTCTTCTTACCGCCGTGAAAAAGGAAAGGAAAAAAAATCCAAGGGGACTGGAAAAGGTAAGAATAACGCATTTTATTTGTTTTTATATAGGTATTTATTACAATTTAAGTCATCAAAAAATTAAGGTACCTACTTAGATAATAAAATCAAATTACAAAAAAAGGACAATGGAGTTTATAAATCTAAAAATATTTTTTTGCATAAACTATTTATACCTAGTTACCTAGCGAATAAAAACATATGTATATTCAATTTATACAGGATGTTTTAAGTCGATTAAATAATAAAATTTGATAGTTAAACAATATTGACGACGTTTTGTAGGAGCTAGAATAGTATTGTTATTATGCATTAAATAATATAGTTTACTATTAAAAGAATTATGTGCAGTAACTAACTGTAGGTCAATAATTAAAGTAAAGCTAGTAAATAAATAAAAGTGTATTAATGTATGTGTGTTTTATTGCAGGTACTTCGGACACATACACAAGTCGATGGTTTGCCTACAATGCTTTAAAGTTCTTAGACGATAGAAACACACCAAGAAAGAGAAAAAATACGATAAGATTTAAACTACGAGCATCTGTCTTGCCAAGAAACCTTTCCTTCATTCATAAAATAATCAGCTAATTCGTCTCTGATAGCATTAAGATGCGCAGGTGATCGTCTAGGGATATTTCTTACAGGCAGTATTGATGTGATGTTATTATTATATTGCCTCCACGTACCTTCATTTAAATTTCCATCTTCCTCCCCATCAACTAACCCCGGAATCACGTACACGTTTGTAGAGTGACGTTTTAAATAATTGTGTAAAAGAGTGATTGCCATAACTACCAATTCAGCTTTATCGGGTTGTAAAAGCATTGGTTTTCTTAAAACTCTAAACACAGACGATACAATGCCAAATACGTTTTCAACAACCCGTCTAGCTCTGCTTAATCTATAATTAAATATTCTCTTCGATGAACCCTTTGGATGTATTTGGATGTAAAATTTTGTTTATATTTATAAAACTCGGTTCCGATTTTAATAGGGGCTTGAAGTAAAACGTGCTTCCCGTCCAATGCCCCTATACAGTGTGGGAAGTTCCACCGGTCTTCAAACTCCTTGCTTATCTTCAACCAGGAGTTGGCAGTCGTGGGTACCTTAAAAAATACTTAAATCATTATAATTATTTCCAGGAGTCCATTCAACGCTAGTCTCCAAAAACAATGCCACCGAAGCCACGCAACATGAGTTTACCCCTCCAGCACCACCAAATGAGCATGGTGTACAGGAAGCGAAACGATCCAGAAGAGACGAAAACAATGTTCTTACCGATGTAGTGGGGATATTGAAAACAACTGCATAGAAATTGTACAGTTTATCAAGCATTCCTGACTTAACAAAAAGTTTTGTTTCATTTATAGGAGCTAAAATGAGTAACTATTCCTCTCAGTGTCGCCGCACACGGGCCACCGGCCACAGCCACAAACGCCGCCACGAGAAGGTAGAAGCGCCGCAAAGGTAGCTGAAGCTCGCTAAAGCCACTTGTGGCCGGTGGTCGCCACTTGCGGTCGTTGGCTGCTACTTTTTTTAACCCACGCATGCAGTATCATAATTGGACTCGGACGAAGAAGGTTTAATTGCGCTACTTTTGATAAAAAGACGTCGTCGTAGAAGACGAAACCGTAGTTATTGGATACAACGAATATTTCGATAATCTTCTAAACCATCCAAAAAAGTTTTTCAAACATTTTCGTTTAAGTATAGGTACGTTTTGGGAACTACATGCCTTATTAAATGCTGGATTAAAGCACCACGACACCAACATGTGGAAAAGCATCGCACCTGCGGAAAGACTAGCTATCAAATTAAGGTAAGTGGAAATAATCACTAGCGTAAAACTCCACAGAACACTATAATAAAATAATCTATACTTTATTTATAATCACTACTTATAATGTTATTATAACTGCGTATTAAAATCTAGGCCTATTTGTCTGTCAGTCTGTTACACGCCTATACCGCGCGCTGATCCGATTTTAATAAAGGATTTCTGATAGTTCACCCATGAGGCACAATTGCATTGTTTATTCTACTAGAGAATAGCTAGTTAACAAATAAAACACGTAGGTCTTTGTATTTATTTATTGTGTGTTTATTATAATTTGTTATCACTCGTCATCATCACGGAACATGTCTTCGATAACCGAACTGTTGTCCATAGACTGGTCAGAATAATATGAATGAGTTGGAGAAGGCTGAATTATAGGTGAAGACGGGATAGATGTAGAAGCGTTTTGTGTAGAGTATGACATGTCAAGCATAGACTTGTCGGAATGAAATGGAGAAGGCTGGGCAGATGTGGAAGCTTTTTGTGTAGAGTATATGTTGGCATTTCCTGAAGAATAACCATAATATTGTGACGAATAGGTTTCATAATTTTGATTATATGTGTACTTTCTAATTAACTGTAATATTTCTGATTGAAAATCAAGTTTACAATTTTCGTTAATTTTTTTACATGTGGAAGCAGCGACATCAGAAATTGCTTATCGGGGTAATTTTGGTCGCTTATTTGATCATGTTTACGTTTTAAATTTTCCTAAAGTGTTCTGAGAATTTCATTTTCTGATTTTTCGGCCCTTTTTATATTAATGTTTCTGTTTATTTTCGGGCGAGGGGTTTCCGCATCAATAGTTGCACACTCGGAAGTAACATCGGTAGGCGGTCTCGCTTCTTTTAAGGAATTCAAGAAAGATAGATGATTGAAATAAATGTACTGTTTACTGCTTGTTGCTGCCGAACCACTCGCAACGTTCTTGTTTTTTGCATTTTCACTATTAAAACTGTCACGCAGACTCTTCCACTTTCTCTGTAATTTAGTCACTGTAACAACAAAAAAATATAATATACTTCATTGTTTCAGGTATCTAGGAACTGGATGCTCGTTTGAGGATTTTGAACTCTCTTACCACCGTGGGGCCTCTACAGCAAGGAAAATAGTACAAGAAACATGTCAACTAATATGGAACCATTTAAAAGCCGTTTGTATTCCAGAACCGACCCAATACATGTCGAATGAAATTGCCAGCGGATTTCTTCAAAATATTAATTTTCCTAATTGTTTCGGTGCCATAGATGGGAAACATATAAGAATTATTCATCCATTCGATACCGGCTCCTTGTACTTTAACTATAAATTTTTTTTTTTCAATAGTACTTCTAGCAACATGCGACTTGAATTTACTTTTTACGTTCATGGATGTTGGGGCATACGGTAAAGCATCCGATTCTACAATATTTAGAGAAAGTGAACTGTGTAATAAAATACACAGAAAGACATTAAATATCCCCTTACCACGACAGGTCGGTAATCGACAACCATTGAACTATACATTTGTTGGTTATGAAGCATTTGGCCTCAGTGAAAATATGATGAGGCCATATGCTGGAAAATATTCGGACTTAGACAAAAAAGTTTTCAATTATAGGTTAAGCCATGCCAGACGTTGCATTGAGTGTACCTTCGGCGTACTAGCAAACAAATGGAGAATATTACATCGCCCATTAAACACTTCTGTTCATTTCTCAGAAGACATTGTGAGTTCCTGTTACATTTTGTACAACTTTATTCGCAAAAGGGATGGTTTCAATTTTCGTCACACTTTGAAAATAGTGGGACTCGAAAATATACAAAATACAGGCTGGCCAGTCACACGAGCGTCTACTGCAAGAGATACGTTAAAAGATTATTTTATGAATGAAGGAGCAATACCGTGGCAAGAAAATAGAATATATATATGGTTTTATATTATTTTATTAAACTTACCTTCAATGTTCTTTTCTTTGGCGGTTTGGAGTCAGAGGAAATCTTCATACCTGAGCTTTCAATGGCCATTATCATTGGCTTGTAACTTACTGGAAGGCCGGACAGCAAAAGTGTGCCTAGCCACTCATCGTTCACATTAAATCCAATGTTCCTTAACTTATGAGCTGTTGTCATTATTTTACTGACACACTCCTCTACATTTAAACATCCAGCTAGTGTAGTATTGCATAAGTCAGGCAGCAGACCAACTCGTGTTAGCCCGGAGTCGTCGAAAGCGTGAGATAAATTTTCCCAAACTTCTTTCGCAGTGCGTGATTCTTGAATATGAACATATTTAACAGGATCGACAAGCAGTATTATTTTCGATCAGGCTTTAGTGTCACGCTTTGTGTCAATTGCGCTTAATTTACACATTCCACGCAATCCCATAATTCCTCATGTTGCAAGTACATTTTAACAGCAAAACGCCATGTGGCATAGTTATCACGGCCGGTTAATTTCTCAATTAATGCCAATTGATTACTTGATGACATGCTGAATTCGAAATAAAACTCAAAATTTATTCTGAAAACTGAGCACGTTGCCTTTGTAGGTTAGGTCTTTTACAAAACTGTTTTTGACACTGATTTAGTAGACTTTATGCACTGATTTTATTTATCGTGCTTCCTGGGCCCATAACCTGTTATTATTAAATGAAAATAATAATTTAATAATTTTTCTAAAGAATTTAAACAAACATTTATTAGTGACAAAATACAACACTTTTATACTAGTAAATGACCACAGAGTAGAGAGAGTGCTTTTTTATCATAGAGTATATAATAATATACAAGAGCACAAATTACAAACAATACCTATCAGATACTTTGATCAAATGGACCAGCAAAAGAGGAATAATTGGAAATGCCAGGAATGTTGCAGTAAGCAACCAAAAACTGGTAACACTCACACACCGGTTAGGTCAGCGGTCACTAGCCAAACATGCAGCAAAGATACTGACGAATACTCTTCTGAGCCATTCGTCACTTTACGTAAAAAACAGCAGCGAGTCACCAGCCCCAGCATCAATGAAAAGCAATGATGGTAGTAACTTCTTGATAGAGAATACTCTTCGTGATATTATTAAATAAGAAATTTCAACAACCATTCAAAAACTTGTTACGACAAAGCTTAATACAATTAATGAACAAATAGCGGGATTTTGTGAATCTATGTCGTTTATAAATGCGCAATTTGAAGAGATGAAAGCTGCAATTGAAGAAAATCCGCTATTATTAACAACTTAAAAAAAGAAAATACTCAACTTCAAGCATCAGTCAAGGACCTTACAACCCGGTTAAACATCGTCGAATCACATATGAGAGAATGCAACATCGAAGTAAATGGTATTCCCGAACAAAAAGCGGAAAATTTGTCAAAAGCTATCGTGCAGTTAGGACAAGCTGTTAAAAATTCGCTGTCAGTTGATGACATCCAATATGTTACCCGAGTAGTTAAGCTGAATAAAAATTCCAACAAGCCACGTTCTGTCATTTTAAGCTTCGTACCATAAAACACAGAGATGCTCTACTGACGGCTGTTGCTTTATTTAATAAGAAAAATCCTGATGATAAACTTAACTCTCACCATCTAGGAATAGGAGGATCTAGAGTCCCAATATATGTCTCAGAACATTTAACAAATCCAGGAAATAAATCCCTTCATGCCGCTGCGCGCATAAAATCTAAATAAATGAAATATGGCTTCATATGGATTAGGAATGGAAAAATTTACGTACGCAAAGACGAATTTAGTCAAGAAATAATAATAAAAATGAAGATAGTCTTAAGCTCATAATTTAAATTAAAAAAAATATGTGAATTATATGGCCCCCAAATTTTTACAGTGTTAGAAGTCTATTATCAGAATATGCGAGGTTCGAGAACTAAGACCTACGATGTGCTTAAGAATATCTTGATTTCAAATTATAAAATTATCATATTTACTGAGACTTGGCTTAAGCCTAGTATCTTTGACAATGAACTATTTGATTCCCGTTATGTCGTTTATAGAAAAGATCGTGTGTGTCTAGACACATCCAAAAAGGATGGTGGAGGTGTTCTCATTGCCATTTCACGTGAGATCTTATCCTCTCGTATTGTAAATTGGGAAACCGATGAAGAAAATATGTGGCTAGTGCTAAAATTCAATAACAACCATGTCACAAAAGTATTGGACTTTGTGTAGTCTATTTGCCACCACCAGTTAAACTAGAAAGCTCAAATAATTTTTTAGATAGCGTGGATAATGTTGCTACATTGTTGCTACATGGTGGTATATTATATACCGTGCTATATTATATACGCTAATGTAGCAATATTACCACGTTGATGACTTAGTTGTTATAGGTGACTTTAATATGGGTTTTATTGAGTGGTCTGCTAGTGAAAAATGTTCATACATGACACCGTGTAATTATAACAATGCTCTAGGACACTCATTAGTTGACTTTATGTCTATTAATAAGTTATACCAATATAAAACTGTAAGTAACTAAG